AAACACGCATACGGGAGCCATATTCGCCTCTCGTCGTTCACGGTGCAACCCTGCCATGCGCTCGTGCTCGAGCAAGCGGATTGAGGGTGTGCTGAGGGATGGAGAAAGAGAGAAGAGAAGAGAGAACGACGAGAGAGATAGAAAATCTGAAGAAGAAAGAGAGAAAGAGAGAAAGAGAGAGAGAGAGTATACGAAGGAACCCTTGCGCGCAGGGGCGTAGAATCTCGCGATGGTGGTGCCCAAGCGGGATAAATGAGTTTTCTTCCAAAAATTCTACTTCAATCGATGTACAATGTAACAGAGATACATATTAACAAAATAAAAATATTAAATAAAACAAAACTGACATAACATCATACCTATTCTTACTTTTTTTTTTTTTTTTTTAAGTATCATAATCGCATAAATCCTGAAAATAAATATGTAAGAAACGATGGGTAATGGTAGAAAATTTGAATACAGATAAGTAAACATTTATTTATGTGTTTAGGTCAATTCGATCTGGTCTTTGAAATGAAGAATTGGTCTTAAAGATGAAGAATTAGTACGTTTACGTAGTAAAGGATATTTCGAAGTCAATGCTGATGTTGAAAGTTATCCTTCGAAAAACATGGCATTTTTCTAGTAACGTAGAATAATCTTGGAGAGATCCTTTTTCCTTTTTCGTAGAAAAAAAAGAACACCTTTATGGGCGACACTCAGTGAAGGATAAAAGAAGGAAAGAAAAACAGAAGTAGTAGAAGAAGAAGAAGAAGAAGAAGAAGCAGTAGTAGTAAACGTTCTCTCGCGCAGAATCATATCAGCGAGGTCGGTCGCGGCGTTTAATATCCTTTCTTTAAAGTATTTTCCTAAGATAAGCCAAAGACGATGACGAAAAGAGAAATAAAGAAGAAAGTAAGGTAAAAAGGAAGGAAGGAAGGACGATCGTATTTAGGTAGACAAAGCAAATGTTCTTTCTTTCTAAGATAATACAAAAATATATAAAATAATACTTCAGATGATATTCGCGAAACTGAATCGGGACGCGCCACAAGCGGCGCCTTTCTCGTGGTCTTCCGCGATGAAGGAAACCGTCCAACGGTCGGTCGTCATTGGTCGATCGATCGAAGAGCGCGTGCCTCGATTTACCATCGATCGGTGACGATCGATATCCGCCTCGCTATTCCTCGGTTACGTTGCGAAGTAAGCGAGATAGAGATAGAGATAGATAGATGGATAGATAGATAGATAGACGAAGAGAGAGAGAGAGAGAGAAACAGGGAGAGAGAAAGTGCGAAAGAGACGAGGTTACAGCGATGAACAAAGATGGAGAATATGTGGGAGACCGAAAGAGAGAGAAAGAGAGAGACAAAGAGGATGTTCAGAGAGAAAAAGAGAGAGAGAGGAATAAAGAAAGAAAAAGAAGCAAAGAGTGTTCTCGGTGAAGAACGAATGGGTAAGAGTGAGAGAGAGAGAGAGAGAGAGAGAGAGACAGAATAGTGGTAGGTGGTCTAAGGGAGGGGGAAGGAAAAAGCAGCGCCAGGGTAGAAGAGCGTCGGCGGCCGGCGTTGCCGCAGGCTCTGTAGCCGAGCGTGCGCGAAGGTGAACGAGTACCGACGGAAACGTGCGAACATAGAGGTTCGTGCTGCCGAACGAACGAACGGTCAGGCAGTGTCGAGCGGTTATTGTAAACGCGATCATCGCGTATTTTACCGCTGACATAAAATAGTGAAATAGATGTGCGCTCGCGCGTGTTTACGCGGCTCGAAAGAGAAAAAAAGACAGAGAGATAAAGAGTAGGTGGATGGGTAGAGTGGAGAGTGAGAACAAGAGAAAAAGAAAGAAAGAAAGGAGGAAGAACGAAGGAGAACAAGAGAAAGAACAAGGGAGAAGGTTAGAGAGAGAGAGAGAGGGGTAGAAAAAATCGAAACGCGTGTGTGCATGAAGATTGGCGTGATAAAGACAGAAGAGCGTTACGGAATCCCTGATAAACCTTTCTTAAACTTCTACTCATTCGAATTATTCAATTGGAATTCGTGCACTGTTTGAGACGGAGAAATAGAGAGGTAAAGTGAGAAATATATACATATATATATACACATATAAAACGTATATATATATATATGTATATGTATATAATACATATAGATACGTACAGAAAGTAGAGATAGGAATATAGAAAGAAGGAAGATAGAGAAAAAGATAGAAAGAGGGAGTAATAGCAGGAAGGAGATCTTTGGAGTTGGCAGGAACAGTGCGAAGAGATATCGCAGCGTTGACGAAGCGCTCCGTCCGGGGCGTGGGTGCATCGCGCCGCCGGTACGTCACACGGCGACCACCGACGGCCCAGGAATACATACGACACACGCTCGGTTGCTTCCTCGGATTACTTACTTACTTCTCTCCTCATCGTCGTCGTCGTCGTCGTCGTCGTCGTCGTCATCATCATCATCATCATTATCATTATCATCATCATCTTCATCATCATTGTCATCGTCATTCTCGTTGTCATCACTGTCATTAACTTTTTTCTTCCACTTCTATTTATACTTCTTAGGCTTCTCCGTCCAATTAAACTCGTTCGAATTATATCGTTGTTTCGTTGTTTCTTAGCGTTTGACGGAAAATTCGAACGAAAATTCGAACACTGTTGTGTGATCTTCACGTATTAATTGTTATTTCATTGGTGTTCAAGTTTTATTTTCCGCCGTTACATCTATACGTGTTGGATACATAATATTTGAAGATTAAAAAGAAGAAAAGTAAAGAAAAAAAAAGAAAAAAATAGAAGAAGAGTGAAGAGAATTCAAGAACGGAGAAGTGGAGTGGCAATCTCGTTCGTTGCTCCGTCGGACGTGTACTCGAGTGTCAACTGCACACATACATCTAAGTAAAGAAAGAGTATGTGTGTTTATATGTGAGTGAGTGAGAGAACGAGAACAAGAACGAGAGAAAGAGAGAGTACGGAAAGGTTGTGTACATACCGGGTGTCTCGAAAGTTAACCCGGTCAGTATTTTGTAAGTACTGCTTATGAGATTGTTGTGTCGTCGTTTCTCGAAGCAGCGGATGATAATGAAGACAACGACGACGATGAAGATGATGAAAGGTGAAAGGACAAATCCAAATACGAGGACGACGAGGACGAAAACGACGACGAGTAGCTCAAGGGGTCTTGATTGAGCCACTGACAACGAATTTGTTCTCTCTCTCTTTCTTTAAAGTGAGAAGAAGAGACGTTATTCTTGTGTGTCCCAAAAGTATAATAACTCTCTCTCTCTCTCACTCTCTCTCTCTCCCTATAGTAATAAGTGTAATAATAGAAGATAGAGAGAGAGAAAATAATTGTTCTAAAATAGAAGAATCGAAGGAATAAGTTAAACAATAAAGGATCCGTGGATAAGAGAGTCGTCGCGTCGTCGACGGCGACCGAACGGATCGCACCGTCGGTCCCGTCGCCGCGACGGAACGAATACACCGTCGTATTCGTGTGCGACGGACGTGTGTTGCTAGTGGTAGTAGAGTAGTATTGGTGCTGCTGCTGCTGCTGCTGCTGCTAGTAGTAGTAGTAGTAGTAGTAGTAGTAGTAGTAGAGTAGTAGGTAGTAGTAGTAGTGGTGGTGGTGGTGGCGGTGGTAGTAGTTGCGGTGGTGAAGCGATCGTTACTAGCCTGAGCAACGCCAAGAGCATCGTCGTCGTCGTCTCGTGGAGTAGCGACAGTGGCAGCGTCGCCAGAGAAATAGTAGTTGTAGTTGTAGCAGTAGTTTTAGTGTAGTAGAGTCCTAGTGGAAGAAGAAGAAGAAGAAGAAGAAGAGGAACGAGAAAGTGGGGGAGGTGCTAAAGGAAGAATAGAAGAGAATACAGGCCGAGCAAGAAAGAGAGGAAGAGATACAACAGTGTGCTAGTTGTATTCCCAAGTAAAAGGAGAAGGAAGAAGAATAGGTAGAGGTGGGATTTGCACAAATCCGGTCCGTCGGTTGGTGGTCATCGAAACTAACTTGGACGAAGGTCCACGAAAGAGAAGAAGGACCATTCTTGAGGAAGTAAAAAGAGATAGAAGAGCAGCAGCAGGAGAAAAAGAAGAAGAAAAAAAAGACGAAGAGAAGGAGGCGGAGGAGGAGGCGGAGGAGGAGGAAGAGGAAGAGGAGGAGAGAAGAGAAGAGGTGAAATATCCTCATCGCGGTTTTCCCCGCGTCAGAGATCTCTTCGAGTATGCAGGTGGCAACGCTGTTCAGGGAGAGCGCCACCCTGCTGGGTGCCTCTACCTTGGATCCCCCGCAGACACACCACCATCAGTCCGTGCATCAGCAACAGCAGATTCAGCAACAGCATGCCGCCGACTTGCATCTTAGTCACCACATGCATCACTACAAGATGTAAGTTTCTCCCTTATTTTCTCTTTCAACAATCCCTTGCCAACCGTTCTCTCTACCACCTCTCTTTAACGAAATTCTACTTGCCCCCTCTACGTTGTTATCTAGATCCACGATACAAGTTACAGGGTCCAAGGACAACTCTTATTACAATATATTCTGTTCCTTGCTTTCTGATAAACATCATTATCCTTTCGATGACTTTCTCGGAATTAATCCAAACGTTATATAATACGTATACATATACGTTTAAGTATATATACATATAGATATGTGTCTTATCTATTTTACTTTTACTTTCTATTTATCAAGAGGGATGAGATTGATTTTCCGCGCGAAAGTCTAATTAAAAATTCTGCTATGATGTCATGTGACCTAGCGCGGTCACGTGGTATCGGAGAACTTTTAAGAAAAACATGGCGTCGACAAGACAGTGTCTATCTTTAAGAAACGAATGGGATCCTGTGACGACGAAGGGAAACAAATGTTTCTCTTTCTCTCTTCCTCTCCCTCTCTCTCTCCCTCTCTCTCTCTCTCTATTTCTCTTACTCACTCTTTCTCTGTTTCTATCTTTCTCGATATTTATCGAGACACACAAATACTTCATTATCCCGCTTATTTCATTACTAAATAACAATGAGAGAAAAACACGTGCGGTGGTATCGATCAATCGACCGACCACAATCCCATGTTGTTCCAGAGACACGTTCTTGTTTATGTCATCCATGCGCGCAGCAAACGAACTTGCAAAACGTTGTACACATGTATTTACGTCTTTTAATTCGTCCTTTGTTCGTGCAAAAGTGCTAAGTTATTTGCATGCGTTTAAGCTTCTAGGAATCATCCATCCATCCATCCATCTATATTTTACACTACTTGCTAGAAATAACACGCATTTGTATTATAATTGCGTTCATACGTTCTTTCTTTCTTTTTTAATTTTTTTTATTTTTTTTTTCTAATTATTTGCACATATAAAAAGACAAGAAAAAAAAGTGATAAAGTTGAGCCGAAAGTTTATAAATCCTTGGTGGTTTTATTATAAGAAGGTAAATCCTTGGTAAAAAAAAAAAAAATAATAAAAAAAATCATCTGACAACTTTTGACTCTAACACAACAGACAAATTTATACCATGAAGTAAAAAAGGGGATTATGATTATGCGTTCAAACTGCATCATACACGAAACAAATGTATTTTTTTGTTCTTTCTTTCTTTCTTTCTTATGTACATAATATAAACGAAGAGAAAATATTATTATCGGATTAAAAGTTGGTAATTCTTATTTTTTTTTTCCTCTTCTTCTTCTTCTTCTTTTTCCATAATTTTACGATTAGAAAAAAAAAAAAAACAAAAAAAAAAAAGAAAAGTAAAGGAAAGTAAGTAACTTTGCAAAAAGTGTAACCAGGATTTTAAAAAAATTGGGTAGAAAGTTTAGTTTAAGCTCGGTGGTCTAAGAATGAAAAAAGATTTGGATGAAAGTTTTTACGATGAGGAATAGTAGAGGAGGAAGAGGAGGACGATGACGAAGTAAAAAAGAGGTTATGGTGTCGGGGAGGATCGCGAGAGAAAAATGTCTGACGACAAATTCGTTTGTGCGACGAACTCAAGAGTAAAAAGAAGAAGAAGAATAAGAAGAAGAAGAAGAAGCAAAAAAAAAAACAAACACAAAAATAAAAAAAAAAAGGGAAGAAAAAGTTCTTCGCAAGTTTCGTAGGAAATAATGTTAGGGGGTTGGTTATACGTAGAGTATGTAGTACAATATACGTGTACAGCAGAACGTGGATCAACAAAATAATAATAATAATAATAAAAAAAAGGGGTTAAAAGGATAGAATAGAAGGTAGGGAGGAGGAGAGGAAGGGAGGGAGGGAGGAGTAAGGGTGGGGGGAGGTTAGCTGCTAGGTGTAGGGAAAAAAAATATGTAAACGCGAAAAGCACGTGGCATATGAAGGGAGGGTCTTTTGGCGCGGAATAAAGGAAAGGATGAGTTTGAGTGAGATGAAGGGGGAGAGAAAGAAAGAGAAATACATATAATAAAAGGGAAGAAGAAGAGAAGAGAAAATAAAAGAAAAGAAAAGAAGAGAAAAGAAGAGAAGAGAAAAGAAAAGAAAAGAAAAGAGAAGAAACGTGAATGCAGGCAGGGTGGCAGGCGCGAGCCACGTGTCGCAGATAAATCCTCAGACGATAAATCGAGCTTATCAATAAGATCGCAGGAGTCTGCGATCATTTCCTCTCTCTCTCTCTCTATTTCCATCATATTTTTTTCTCTCTTTTCTTTCTTCTTCGTGTGTCTTTCATATCATCTTCTCTTCTTCTCTCAATCCTTCTCACCTTTTCTTCTACTCTCCTCCCATATTCAGGCAGTGTCGACTGAGAAACCCCCAAACAAGTTATTCATGTATTCCAAAGTTATGGAATACATGAATAAACTAACTCACACACTTGTAATCGTGTCGTTGTCGTTGTCGTTGTTGTGTTGTGTCGTTCTCGACGAACCTGTATTTCTCGATACAACCGATTCGAGACCGTTTAGGGTTATACGAAGGGAAAAAGAAGAAAAGAGGAGGAGGAGGAGGAAGAGGATCGATGTAACGCTAAGTCTATAGAAGGCATTTAAAATACATTCCTTTTTTTTTTCTTTTCTTTTCTTTTCTTTTTTTTTCTTGTTATCCCTCTTTACCTGTTCTGTGATCGTACTACTTGTGAAACGAAAAAGGACTCAACAAAAGAAAAGAAAAGAAAAGATAATGAAGATGACTATATATATATATATATATATAGATATATTCCCCTTGATTAGTTAATATCTTAATTTTGTGTTATTAGTGAATTTAGAATGTCCTGAGGGCTAAAGATAATAATCAAGATGTCAAGGCTGAATCGGAAATAAAATTTGATTAATCGAAACAACGGGAAAGTTAATTATTACGTTGTTATTTTATTAATCAGAAAGGAACATTACAAATAATTATTTATATTACTATTTGATTATTCGTTTATATTTGTTCATTTCAAATCATTTGTATATCTTATGAACATAGTATTTTTTTGATAAAACCAATCGAGATTTGTATAGAAAACTCGATTATTTCTCTTAATTTCTTAATTTACGTATATGAAAAATATTCATCGTGTAGTCGAATAAGGAAAGAAACAAAAAATAATACACACACACACACAATCAAAATACTACTCGATTATTTCGTTAACTTGTTCATTTTCTATTCTGCATATTTTAAAAATTATACTCGTGAAATTGAACAAAGAAATATCACGACGAGCAAATGATATTTAATTATAATTTTAAATAACAATTTTCGGTCTTTGACTTTTATTCTAAAAGAAGAAGAAGAAAAAAAAGAAAAAGAAAAATAAGAGAGGGAAAGTAAGTCGATGGAATGAAACTTGAAAAGGTGTTAGAATCGAGATGATATCCTTTCGAATTCCACGACCTTCCTTAATCTTAAACAGACGAAGGAAATTCTTCTTCGGTCGTTCGTGTTCAATGAAATTCTTTAGAAAAAAGTTTTGGTCACCTGGTTGGTGGGTTCTATTATGATCAAAGGAAACCACTTTTTGGATCAATAGATCTTTGTTATTACTAAACATGCTGGTACTTACGTATTAACGCCATTGCAACAAAATTTCGTTAATCTGCCCAATAATCTACACTTTAAATTGTTGCGACAAATCATTGAATAACAAAACTTGATTTAAAATCGAAACACTTTGAAAAATTCCTAAACATTTTATTTATAATAAAAAGTAGTCAATATCGGATTTCGGTGGAAAAATGGGTCGATGTAGAATTTAACATAGATTCAAAATAGTCTCTAACCCTGACGAAACCCTGACGAAACCCTGACGAAACCCCTGACGGTTGCTGTGTACAAACAACAAAGCTGTTGTATGCAAACAACAAGATTGCTCTTTATTGGCGCATTAGCGAAATTTTTGTTACGGTGGCGTTAATACATAAAGTACCAACATGCTTTTGCATAGGAATAATAATAACTTGAAAATGCTATCTAGGAATATGTTATCTAGTTATCTATGGGACACGATTATGTTACGCGACATATATGCCAAATGTGTGTATTGTTTGTGCATATACATATATTTCGCGAATATGATGATTATTATTGTTCTAACATGACCGTGACCCCCACCACCGTTGTTTGCATTCGTCGAATAAAACGTCTGAATTGTGTTTGGCCTTTCTATGCGTTTTACCTTTCATTTTTTCCTTACTATTATCAATTTTTTTTTTTTTTTTTAATTTTATTCTTTCTTTCTTAAAACGACAAATTATATTTCAAAATAAACAAAAAAAAAAGAGGAAAAAAAAGAAAATAGAGAGAAAGAAGAGGAGGTGTAATATAAGATGTCAAAAAATATAACGAGTTTTCAAATGTATCATTTATTATTCTCTTCATTTTATTTATTTATCTTTCTATYCCTCTTAGACGATGGATGGATGAATGATCACGTTCAAAACTATTATAATGATAAAATATGAGAAAGAAATAAGAAAATCTAATCAAATGTTTTAAGATTATAATAGAGAAAATGTATCATCTATTTATTTATTTCAATCTTCATTTATATTCTATTTTCTTTTTTTTTTGCTTTATTTATTTCCACAATAACGACGAATAATTACTAAATACAGTGAGAGATTAAATTTAAATGAAAAAAAAAAAAAAAGAAAAAAAGAAACAAAAATCTATAGCAGCAACGTAACCAGTAGAAATTGGGCCGATTATTTGAAAATTCGGTTACTCGGTCGATTACTTGCATTCTCTCGACGTTCTTCAATCTTAAACAAACAAAAAATTCATATGAATGTAAACAAAGTAAGAAAAAGAAAATCGTTGGATAGATGGGGCAAAGTAAAAAGATATGTAGGTAGGTAAAGATAGGAAGAAACGAAGAAACGAAGGAACGAAGGAAGGAAGGAAGGAAGGAACGAAAGAACGAAAGAGTTTTTTAAAAGTCAAC